CAGAGCTTGGTTCTTCAGCAAGCGTTGGTGACTAGGAGCCGATGCCGGGATGAGTGCCCGAGATGTTTGCCCTCTTGCAAACTGATAAAATCTATGGTAGAACAGATCCTGTAGCTCCCTGTCTGCCAATTCTCTGGCAGGGACACAGCGCTCGCCCCCAACCATACTTGCAACGGCACCACCTAATCAAGGTGGCACAGTTGAGCCGGACTTGGACAAATTGATTTGCTCCAAATGCAATGATGCACCAACAAAACCTTACCACTTACCACTCACAACGCTAGCCACCAAACAGTAGTGGACTAACGAATGATCAGAGCAGCGGGAAGAATGGACGGATGCTGATGCAAACTGCTAAAACTAGAACCCATATCATACCAGAGACGGCGACGGAACCGGAGTTCGCCCAGCCCTGGTTCCTGCCCAGGCACTGAGACCACGAGAAGTCATCAAAGACTCATTTGCTTCTGCTAACTCACGCACGGCCTGCAAAATCTGTGGACGCCATTCATCAAATGGATAGGCAGTTGGGTCAAGTTGGTTAGCTATCATTTTTTCAGTTAGCTTGAGCACACGTCGAACCGAGCCAATTTAACTATAATATCGATCAGAAATGTGACTCAACTCCTGTCAGTGCTTGAGATACCCGATTCATTCAACCATTGAATCCATTGAATCAAGTGGTGAACATCCAGCCTTTGCATCATCAAGAAGGTCACTGTTCTCAGGAATCCTCATTTCTGTCGATATGTACGCAGCCCGTGCTCCTGGAGCATCGTCCAAAGCATCCTTCACTCGCTTGTGAAGACCCTGCAAGGAGCAAGGTCAGGTCAGAAATATATCTGTAAAATACAAACATACAAACAACTACACCGTCACAGACTCCACAACTGACAACAAGCCACGGGCCGTTGGTATAGCTGGCGTTATTAGTCACTTTCCAACAGGCCGACCTGCCTCAGTTTGCCGTTCCACACATCGGAGAAGCCGAAGTGCCCCGATCCAGCTGCACAAATGGTGTAGGTTCCTCCGTTGCTCTCCACGGATGAACATGTCCAATTCTTGCCGAAGACTCCTTTCCTGAGCAACCAAGGTCGACAATCACCCAGCCTCCCCCACACTCCGGCCCCAACAATCAAAACCACTCCGTGGCCGCCGTGGCCCCATCTTGAAACAATCTACCGAGCTTCTCCATCATCTCCATCAGAGGGATTCAAAAACCATTTGCTGAGATAATGATTGACTCCAAGACCATGTTCTAAAGGCTGCCCATCATCCTCCGGGCCTTGCCTCCAGGTTCGATCCCAAAGAGACACCACTTCTTTCCTCATTGCCAAACAAAACTGAACGATGTTGCCAACTACAAGGCGACGGTTTATGCCCCTGCTCACACCACTGGCAAGAAGCGTTTGCAGCATCGCTGCTTGGAGGACCAAAAACATTGTAGCCTCGAATTATCCCAGTGTTTCCAAGTCTAGTAAACACACTAAACGATATTGCATTGTGCAGCATGCATGTGATAAATTTAGCCCAGGGTTCGCAGCCAAACGTGCTCTGGACTCATCGTCCGAAGCCAAAGCGCAAAGCTTCCAGGGTAATACATCCCAATGCGACGTCTTCAATTTTGCTTCCGCCAAAATCAAGTCCATGGACACTTGGAAATCACGTTGGAGAACAGCAAGTTCCTCAGGCAAAAGCCCAGCGACACAGCTTAGAAAGTCGTCCTTCGCATTGGAGTTGCAACTGTCGATGAATTCTTTGAAGCTTCCATCTGCCATCTCGTTACAGCGACGGCCCCGCAATGGGCACCCGTTGCCCTGAGGAGACCACTCGTGGCAGTGACATGCTTCGCACCAAGTGCTGATCCTGTGTAAATGACCGTGCAACAAATACAACATCTTTGTGTACGCCCAAAATACCCGGCTTGTCACGGCCTGGTCAGCACGCCGAAACATCTCGGAAGACTCCGATACTTTGGCCTGTTTTGATGGCTGCTCTTCATCGTCGCTGAAGTTATCATCATCCCCTTTCAATAGTACTCTCAAAGACCAATTTCCTCTAAGTGCTTCCTCGCGCTCCAACAGCGCCTGACAAACAGCCACCAAACTGCCCCACCGCCATTGGATTAACTGGCCACCATTCCAATAACGCATGAGGCGGTGAAACTTGGTGCCAGGAGTGTACAGCCTGTCCACAATTCGGTCTCTGTAATGCTTGACATGAAGGAGAGTTGCCAAGGCGTTCAGGCCTTCCTCAGACGACGGAAGGTGCCCACTCCAAGAACCAAACTGCCAAAAAACAAAACCAAACTATAGTCGAGAAGGTCTGGTCTAGTCTGGTCTGGTCTAGGCTTTAGAAGCCAAACCACCTTGTGCGCCTTGTAGTGGCTTAAGGCGGCCAAAGCATCACCAGAAATATTATCCCAAATGTGTTTCTGCCCGTGGATTGACAAAGCTCGGGATAGGTCAAATGTGCTGTGCACGCCTGCAGCTCGGACGTCGCCACTCCCATACCCCACATCTCTTGCGTGAGCTGCGGGATTGGGAGAATCCTTGACAACCTTGACTCTCAAAAAGAACAACAATGACTGACTGTTTGTCTGCCGTGACTCCCCCAATGGGCCATGGCATGGTGTACTTTGGTGGACTCAACAGACTTTTTGCATCCAATAGACTCTCCAAAGCCTGCATAAAGATGCTTGCTTAATGAGGCCAGGGGACATGCTGATGCAACTCGTCTGTGTCATTGATAATCATTTCCAGTCTGTCTTTCTGCTCCTGAAATTTGAGCATCCCAGCAGAATTCACAACCATCAACTCCAATGTTGATTCAATCGGGATGTCGGGCACCTGCTCCGCAGAAAACTGATGCAAATTCAAAAATATGATTAGACATTAGAATGCAATACTACAATACTATCAATACTATCCTACCGTCCTTGCCTTTTACATCCCTTTACCATTGACAATTTCGAGTGATTGAATTGAAGGCATCAAATCCGTGTCCCATGTTACTAGTTTGATGAACTAAAGGCCTCGCTGAGCTGAGATTCAGTTCCGTAATCGCAGCAAATGCCAATAACAGATCTGGAAAATGCCTCCAAGCGCTGGCCTGCCTAAGTTTCGAACGATCGTCTGTGTTGAGTTGCCATGTCTGACTCCATGACTATATGTCACCGGCAACGGCAACGGTTCCGTTTCCGGTCTGTCAATTTACAAGTGGCGACGGCGACGCCAACTGTCCAAACCCTGACTGCAACCCAGAGACTGCACCAACGTCCAGCTTCAAACAATGAAATAAGCATTCGTACTTGGCTCCCAGGTCAGCGTTTCCAGAGCCAAGGATGCCCAATGGCAATGTGGTGGTCTTGAGGAACTTTGAAGCAAGGAACTCTTCAAGTTTCGCGTCTGCATTGTCTCCGCCCTCATGGTTTTGGTCAATGAGCTGCATAAGCTTGCAAGCATCCTCTCCTCATCTCTCCACTGTCATCTACCATGGTCAACTTTAAATCAAAGTAGCAAAAATATAATGATGCACAATGATGTTCTTGCTGACTCGGAGGATTCAAACGACTGGCTGACCAAAACAGATTGCCAGGCATGCCAGGGGGCTTTTGCATACATCTTGCAACGTCATCAGCAGTTCATAGCCCCCTTGTGGTGACGAGTCAGCAGAGAGCCAGATGAAAAACTGCTTGGGGTCAAACAACTTCTTCTGCTGCTCAAGGCACAGCAAGACATCCATCTTTAGCCGTGCTCTGGACAGGGATGCCTCCGACAAAAGGTGCAAGGCCTTGTTGTCGAAGAGACGTTGATAATGAAGTGCGGCAGAGTCTCCATGCAATAGCCCCTCACAGCGGACAATCACTTCCTTCAACTTGCTATTGTTCTTCACCTTACTGATTCATATAAACAGAGCAATCCACCGAATCCATCCACTATCAAAAAGGACACCCTCACTGCAAGGTGGTCGAGGTCGAGGTGGAGGTGCCACATTGGAAAAAACAAAACATTTAGCTGCTTCAGCTTGGAAACAATCCGACTCAGGAGGAGTGTCTCAACAACGCTATGCAGCGTGTAGCCCAGTCCTCCACGCTCCCTAGCAGTTTTCTGCAAGGTGCCACAACGGTCCCCTTTCAGGATTTGAGCCGCCTGCTCGAAGAGAAATTTCACCTCTGCTGCTGATTGGACCGCTGCCTGGGCACAAGTCAATGTGTCAATGTTGTCATACATTACATTCCTACACTACAACATACTTAAACTGCAGCGAATCGTACCAATTTAAACTGAAAACCTGTGAGCCGTTTAGGCAAGCAACTCGAGCTTTTGAAGATTCCACATACTCTAGGCAGCTCTTCAAGCAAGTCTGCAGTCCCTTCAGTGCATCCGCTAAAGGCGCTCCATCACTCTCACGACGTCGGCTCATGTGAAAACAGCCGATTGGCAAAGAATCTGTGCTTTGGTGACCTGGTGACCTGGTGGCCCCTCATGGCCCCCATGTTCATTTTCACTTGTTTCTGCAAATTGAACCATGGTCTATGACTCTATGTGAATCCATGATCATAGTTTTGATCACTGAAGATTTTGCAGATTTGGCCAATATGCGTTTTCAGGCGTCCAACCTCTCAAATTTAACATAAAAACCTGTTGAATTCAACCCTTATACTTTGAAAACGCATATGGAGGTACCACCGCGCGAAATTTCTGATAACCCTGCTCTCGCGAAACTCCATAATTCTGTCCATTCTATCAGGCTCATGGACTCATGGGGGTCATCAATTGCAATCAACAACTGGAGGATGTGGGGAGAAAGGACCCTATGTTAGATGGAAGAAAGCACCCAGCACACCATAAAGTCATCAACATGTCGTTGATCGTTTATCCAGGTGCAGCAGTTTATCTCTTGAGGGGCAAACGGCAAACAACTTTACCATTGCACGAGCTCTGTAGCAAAACATGGAATAAAGGGGCGAAGATTCTCAAAATCTGCGTCCGAGTCGCTTTCCAAGCAGCACAGCCAGCCGTCGCCGGTTTTTGGGGCCTCAGTCTTCTTTTGGAGCATGCTGGATCTTGATTCCGAGCAACTCGCACGAAACAAGATCGGCACATTAAACTAAAGCGCGCCAACGGAGCTGCAACAAATAGACCCCTCAACCGAAGAATTAGAAAAGAAACTAGCTTCGCAGGCTTTCAAAATTGCACTCGTCTCTGTGCTCAAGACTACCAGCTACCAGCCCTGATGTAATGTATAATCATCGTCTCATATGTGAATGCCTCAACAATCCCCCAAGAAGGTACATCAAAGACCAATATTATCAACAAGTTGGGATCTGAGTCTAAGGAACCCCTCACACATTCACACTCATTGACCTCCTCCCAAACAACTGGACCAACTCAGCCTGAAGCTCATCCTGCACCCAAGGACGCAGAGCAGTCCGCCTCTCTTGCCACACCCACCGGAAAAAAAAAAAACAAATTAAACAAATTCCCTCACAACTTCTATATCTATTTCCATCCCACCAAAAACCTTACCCGCAAACGGTGCAAACGGAACAACCGGAAAATCCCTCCTGCTATCTCACCCCCCCCCCCAAAAAAAAAGGCAAACAACGCGGTGGATCTCGGGTCCCACGTCGGGGGTCACCCGACCGGAGCACCCGGGTCACCCGGGTGCCGCCGCTCCAAGGCGCTGCCCTCCGAGCGTTCGGACTTGGCGACCTCCGAGAGCTCCGCCACGGAGATCTCCGAGCGCTGCGACTTGCTGCGGCGCCGCTCCTGGCGCCGCTTGCTGCGACGCCGTGCGGAAACCGGGAGTGGGAAGGCGGGAGAGACCGGGGCGGAGTGGAGGGAGGAGATCCGAAGAAAAGTGCCGGAAAACGGGGTGCGGAATGAGGATCATATAAAAACTGAAGAAGGGGGAGGGTGAAGGCTTCTGAAGGTGTGTGTGAAAGCGTGGAACAAATGTTTAAGGACTGGGAGTTGGGATTGATCTGTTTGGATGGGAACACCGCTCCTAGCCGCACGACCGGCAACCTGTTTGGTGATCGTTGGTCTTTTGAGACATCCCAAACATAGAAACTCAAGGTACTTCCTTGACGCCGTTTCCACCTGGTTTACAGTTGGCAGACCTCTAAATAACAAGAACACATGTAGCTATCTCATCCTATCACTTTTCACACACTCCTCGCGACGGTGACTTCCTGTCGGATCTGGTCCTCCTTTGAGTTGATCCGCTCCAGCGTGCTCTGGTCAGGCCGCACGAAGCGTGTAAAGCAGGCCTGGCGACAGGAGCGGAAAAGGTGTAAAAGAACAAACCTGATGATCTCCAACAGTTGCATGCTCGGTTATATTATCTACAAGTACAGTATATATGTTTGCCCCCTACCCCACCCCGATCTTTTCTCTTATGGCACTGTCACTGAAATGTTCAGTGTGAATGGTCGTTGACATGCCCACCTTAGAGTTTTTTTACATCTGTTGTTCAACTATGTTGTGTTGCATTGAAGATTCAATAATCTCCAAAAAGTTATTTGGCTTGTTCCCCCCCCCCCCACACACACATATACACACAATCACATACATCTTGAACCCTGTATTTGGGAACTTGTTAAACCCTTAAAAGTAGTTCAACGTGTTCTGTTGATTCAAGATACAAGACTGCTGAGATTGCCGCAAAATTAGGTCTCATATTTGCTTAAGGGTTGCAACACCCCTTGATTCGTATGATATCTTGACACATGCAATTGTATGTGAAAGAGCTGTTCAAAGTCACATATCTCAAGTTATGCCCTGCTCGACACAGTAAATTGAACATGTTAAATGATATCATCAGTAAAGGTCACGAGTCACATTGTTCTGCTTTTTAAAACTCATTGTGATGGCAAGGAAGAGTATTGGATGCACAGTCAAACAGGAACACAGGTGTCCTACTTTTTGTGGTTTATCTACAGTACAAAACAAAGTCTGGCACTGATGTAGAAGGTCATTTGCTACAACAGGACCTTTGATTGGTACAGAATCTGTATCAAAAACCAAAGGTATCAGACAAGAAGAAGCAGCCAGACAGAAGAAGCTGTGGAGCACTTGTCTGCAATAGTTGTTGAACACCTGCAATTTCAAAGGTAGGTACCGAGACCCCGTATATATATATATATATATACATGAAGGTCAAATACAAAAGAAACAACTGAACACGGAGCAAGGAATATGATTGTACATGCTTGAGCAAAGGACCAGCTTCGCGTGGCTAGTTGCAGCTTGAGAGAACAACAAAACACACATCTTCAAAATGCAACGTGCTGGCAAAAAGCAAGATCCTATGTATATATATATATGTAACATGGATACTGGAGCATATATACACCCAGTTCTTCAAGGTGTAGCAGTGTAGATGTTAAGTTTGACATTTCGGTGTGGTCACCAAAAGACATCTATAGCCATCCAAGAAGGTTGCTGAATTGGCCTACGCCAGCCTGTGGAGGCATCACCATCCCAGCACTCTCGCTCTCATGAGGTCTCATAACTATGAAGGACCATCCAAAGAGTCTTTGTGACTGCATCACGCTTGGTATAAAAGCAAAATGATGTGTAAGTAAGTAAGCTTCCAGTCACTAACATCTGTATGGATACATTGGGAGTGACCAAGTGACCAATTGACAGCCATCTGCGCACAGTGTGAGAAACATTTTCTTTGTTGGGTGAACCGCGTAAGAAAAATTGCAGGAATGACCTTAACATTCAAATTTTGCAGGAATTGGAGTAGTTTTCATTCTCAACTAGCAAACAGCGCACCTCCGCTAATCGTCACTGATAGCACTATTGCCCCTTCCACAAGGAAATTGGATAGGGTGCAGGACCCACGATGATGCCCGCGCGCCTTTTCACTGTTGCTCAGGCCATACAATCCTCGCTTACGGCGCTCATCTCGCTCCACCTCATCTTGATCTGCAAAGTCGTGAGTGCCTCGCGCATTTTTGCCAGTCAAATGCGTCTTGGTTCTACAAAGAGATTGAACATGTCGTTTCAATTGTATTCCATCCCAAAGTCATGTCATGTCAAAGTCGGAATCCAGCTTTTGGGACGGACTTTTGGTGGGCATGTCTGGACTCTGGACCTACCCTGAGAGGTCCCATCTTGGAGTGACACCTACCGACTTGTTTGGAGGATCAAAAAGAGTGAAGTGCATCGACCATGCTGCAGTCCTTCAAAAAGATAGAGAGATAATGTAATATATATATATAATATCATCAATGAGGCAACATGTGGCAACATAATGGTATCATGCGTGATCATGCGTGTATCTTTAGCGCGAGTATTAAAATTATTGGCCTTGGTCCAACCCAAAAAAGCAGTCGTCTGCGTGGACCCGCGCACAGACTTTCCATCACCATGCACATCCCAGGAAGGTTTCTGCCTATTGTTTCCTCACTGGTTTCTCAGCCCCCCTGAATCTTCGCCAGTGAGGGGAGCAAAGTGCAGCTCAACATCCTGCGACCATCTGCAACCTCTCCTATTGACCGTGACCTGATTGACGAAGCAGTGCACAAATTCCCGACAACCCCTCCCAAAGAAGCACCGAAACGGAGAAAACTAAACAACACCCTAACAACACCCTGTCAACATTTCAAACCAAGCCATGGTACATCACCAAAAACACCGAAAACAATAACACATACAAATTCAACGAGAAGAACTTGTGATGGAAAAGCCCAACAGGCGCAGCACGTCGATCTGCCTAGACGGTCTATCCCATTCTTTTCGGGCCCAGTGGATGATCAGTTCGCAATCTTTTCACAGGATAACGTTCTCTTTGTTGTTTTTCCGTTCGGGTCGTTTTGATCTGCCTCGATAGTCCTGCAGGTCGATCTGCCGGAGCTTGGTCTGCCGGTTGAGCTTGAAGAAGCCGCCACTCCGGTAGACGGACTGGACCCGAGCGGACCGTTTTGGAAGAGGTCTACTGAGGTTTGGTTGCTTTTGCAGCCATAGGAGTCAAACGATTTTGAAGACCATGGAAACACCGGATTTTGCGAGATATCCAGGAACTTCTAACTGATTCTGACCTAGTATTTGGTAAGTCAGCTTCTGAAGTTTGCCTGCCTGTTTTTGCATCAACTTGGTCAGTTCCAAAACCCCGCCTCTCCGTGCAAATCTGGCAGGGACTTCGACATCGACTCGTCACATGACGGATCCGCCCGGTCTGCCCGCCGGGGGCGGCAGCGCGCCCCGCACGGACTGCTGGCCGGCTTGTGCGGAGCCGTTTTCACCGGGTCTGGAGCCCCGAAGACAAAGGATGCAATGTGTGTTCATCTGAAAGACCTACAGTATCAGGAAGAAACAGGATGAATCAAACACCAACTGCAGTGACCCTGGGTTGTTTCTCCAACTTGGACAAGCAATACCTTGACAGTCATCTGAGAAATATCATGCTGTTTCTCTACTTGCACAATAGATTCAATCAAATGCGTTCCAACCTCCTTGGCTCTGAACATCCGGTCTTTTGCAGACTTGGGGCCCCGAATACTCTATAATCTTCTCTTTGGTTGCATTATAAAGCTTTGGCTTCCCCCGGAGTGTTGCAGGGGGTATGGGTTAAACACCTATATTTATATCAGTTCCCTGCAGGATCTTGCATGTGTTCGGATCAGAACTGTTGTTTTGCAATGTAATTGTTCGCCGGTTCATGCAAGCTATACCACAAATGCAATGCCATGAGTCTGCACTATAGAGTAGTGTTTCACTTCCACTCTCCGACTCTCCGCGCTTGTGTCTATACGCCTTGACTTCTACAAAAGAACACCAAAGGTAATGGTCAATCAGGATTTGTTCAACCCAACCTGATCCCACTCGAATACCTGGTTTGTCGTTCTTCCCGGACATGAATCAATCATGGTCTTGCCAGAATCCGCCAAACAAAGGGAACCATTGGAGACTCCATTTGCTTCAGCACCACCGCACACCACGCGCAAGTACGGACAGGAGGCTTCTCCAAGGCAGCAATGCTCTCCTCAAGCCAACTTCGCCACAGCAGAAACCCACAGCAATCACACCAATCGGAGTATGTACACTCTGACTCACCATGGAATGTGGAAAACCCCGCACCTGTGAGGTAGAGGTCGTCAAGACGTGCCATCCATGGGACCATTCGGACGGTGATGTCGGAGGGTCCGAAGAACCGAAGATTCGGAGCGTCCCGAGGCCCGGGAGGAAACCGTGCCTTGGAAACCATGCCATGTGCACAACAAAACCTCAAACACGGAATCCTCCAGACCCATCAACAAGGGTCTTGAAACGGAGTTTCTCCATGATCCGAATCCACTTTCTCACCTTGAGGACAGATTCTCGATCTACTACATATATTTAACATCAAAGGAAACATTCGACTGGATTCTCACATGGCTTCCCCAAAGCATTGAACTCAAGCTCCACCCGGACGTTTTTTGGCCGAACCGCTCCACCGAAAGAAGACCGAGCCACGCTGGAGAAGCCGGCCAAGCGGAGCTCCGCGGAGGAGTAGCCTGACATGGTTCTTAGCATCAAGGACATGCCATTAAAAGAAGAAAAGGAAGAACCATGTGACCATATGTGAACTATTGTGTTTATACGATCTTAGACATTTTATGAAATTCTATGTGGGTCTGCGTGAATTCGCATGAATTTATTTGGGGGAGAAGCAACCAATGGGTTGTCCATCTTTCTGACCTGGAAGGGCACCTGCATTTTGAAACACGAATCATTTTTGGACTACAGATTCAGCAAAACTGATTCAAACTGCAGTCTCGCAACAGTTTTGGGGATCACTTGAAGTTGGTGTACAAGCCACCTGCACCACACATATTGCCACCAACCAACATACCCCGAACGCTCTGTCCACCTTGGAAACCAGCATGCTGGCTGGAAACCCGTACACTGGCTGGAACCCAACGAAACACAGTTAAACGGAGTACAACTGCGCATTGCGATCCACCAGTCACGTTGCCGTCATAAGGTCCGTGCATCCGCGTTCCAAAAGGTGGCGACCGGAACTGGAAGGTCTGGAGGTCTACCTATTGTAGTACACCTAGTACACCCCTAAATGGTGGCGTTTCTCTCATGCTTTGGATCATTCCTCTTGTAAATGACATCAATCTTTATAAAGAGACAAAACAACTGTTCATCAACTCCTGAAACGTTGGGGATCCAAAAGTTCAATATAGCTGATAACCGTTGTTTCAAAGAATACACTCATAGACCGACTGCAACAGTCCCCGATTGGTTCCGAATAGATCCACTGGGACCGACTGGACACGCCAAAGTACAAAGATCTTGTGATGGAGGTAATTGATCCAATAATTACATGCACACGTTGAAACCCTGTACCCTTTTTTTCATCTCGACCCCCAGTTTGCACCTTGGAAACTGGGTACAAAATGATATACACAAACCTGGAATGTGGCACACAAAAGCAAGAACTCAGTTTCGGAGATGCAATCACTTAGGCCGTAGCCGCCATTTCGCATATCTGAGAGGGTGAAACCACCTCAGCAAGCCAACCCACTCCCAGAATTAGACGTTCACCTCTTGAGTTGAAGTTTTGTGCTCTGACCCAAGTAACAAGTCACACGGGCTGAGGGCACGTACCATCTACCACAGTTTACTCCATTGAATGACAAACTTATTGCTCTGTGCATGTGGGCAAATGTGACACCTACAAACTTGAACCAGAATTCTTGGGTTTGGGAACTAGAGGCTAACCACATGCTGAGAAGGTAGTTAGACCATGTTAGGCTCTTGGACTCTCCACCCCAACCACCTTCTCACGAGGTAGTTGGATCTGTAGAAGGAACAAGAACTGCCTGGAGTTCATCATGCTTCTGGGGCCGGAGATTAGATGGTAAAACTACATTATACATCCAGATCTTCTAGCTGCGAGTAGCTCAAACTTGCAAAGCCTCTCTCCCATCCAAGCCTATTTTCCCTTATGAAATGCAGCAATCTTGCACACAAAACTCCCACCTCACATGTTGGTTCCGAAGATTCTGCTTGAACGGTTTGAGCCCCCTGCCCAGCTTCATCTTCCAAGCTTCAACCTAAGTGTTCGAAAAACAAGCCCGAAACCCGTGGTGGACAAGTCTGGCAGTTAGATTCAGTTAGATGGAGTTAGCCTGGGTGAAGAGTTTAGGCTGACCGGCAGCGCAACTGATGTGGTATTGTTTCGCACTAAGTAGTGCATTGTGGGTCCTGTTCAAACATGAGAAGACATCCCAACCAATGGTGTTCGTTTTAATGGTCCTTTCCCAAGGGGTCCTGGTCCTTCTACATACCCGTCAACCTAATTGATCATACTTTTGCACCAAATACTCCAACAACAGCAACACAACACAGGCCTCACAAGCAGCATTCAGAACGACAACTATGGTTACACTCAATATAGTCGCACCTGGTGTGTATTAAAAATACAATATATGTCTACGGCATGTATATAGAATGCAACCAAAGTAGCAATATCCTCACACATTGCAAGTGTGAAAACGCGTTTGAAAACGGGCAACGGGCAGCCTTTCAGTCCCGCGACCCGCAATTTCCGGAGCGCTGCGACAGAAGCAGTGTCGGTGAACCTGAGGATGAGGCATTGGGTGATGGGTGAACATGAAGCTATACATATTATATACTTTAATAGGAGGTGCCAAAGGGTATCTGTCAGGGTGTAAAAGAATGGCAGGCCTGGTGGTCATCCGGAAGCAACAATTCTGCTGCAGCGTCTATTGGGAAGGACCCTTCCCTCTTGTTGCTGTAGGTACTTTCTTCCTTTACTATATATTATACTTGCTGTAATCGCTTCCAAGTTCTTCAAATGGAAAGCAGCCCCTACATGCGCAATCACACAATAGATAATTTAGGTGGTTCTGTGGTAGTTCATGCTCTTTCAGTGCAGCGGAAACAATTGCTGATAAATGCTACTTACAAAGCAAGCTTACTATCCGAGACAACCGCGATTGATACTACGCACTTCTTACCTTTCAAACACGCATGTAGAAGTCAACTATGTCCTAGAATACGGTGATATCATGTCTTCTTACTAGCGATGGCCTCCAACCTAATAGCAATGGCCTCCAGCCTCCAACCTACTGGTATCCATGCGATGTGGAAGGGAGTGCGAACCGTTTGGAATCTTTTCAATACATTGAAGGGCAAACTTCATGCTTCAATTGTCAACCTGACCAACAACCACGAGGTCAAGATGGGCATTAAGAGCTTGTTCTCTGACCAAAATCCTTGGGCCTTTCAGTTGGGTGGTGAGTAGGACATGACTGTCGTTGCTTCATGTTGTTTCTCTTCGAACTGGATCACACACCCCGCAGGGCACCCCACATGGCACCCGCCCCCGCCCGCCCGCCCCCGCGCGGCGTCCCCAACAGAGATCCCGGGCCCGGCGTTGCGGAGGTTCTTCACCGAAGCACCTGTGGGAGGGTCGTCTGGGAGGTCGTCGCAGTCCAAAACGGTTTTAGAAATACCAACAGAGGTTGAAGGACCCTAACGTTCGACTATCCCATACAAGTATAGGTACCCCAGGTGACGGGTCCTATTTACGGTCACTCAACCTCTCTTGGTAGAGACTGCAGACTGGTGCCTAGGGAAAGAGGGAATGAGAGGCCATGTCTTAGAAAGAGGTTATTCTTGACGCTTTGCTCAGCACCAGTCAGACTAGCACCAGGGTGGAAGGATGGTGCTTGCCTGCAGCCACCAGGTCAGCGATCTTGAAGCCCGCCTCGCGAGTGGAAAGGGAGCTCCCCCCCTCGTCTGACGGAAGACGTCAGGATGTTCAAAGGGAAAATGCAAGGAGTTATATCAATTTATCATGTTTAAAGGATACTGAAAGGAATTGTTCATCCTTTGTTCTTTGTTTCCTTTTCATATTCTATTCCTAGAGTACTGTCATTATTTTATGTTTTTTACTTATTCCCATGTCCAGCTCTATTTTTTACTTACTCCCATGTGCAACCTTTTCATACCTGAGTTCATTTCATTTAGGATTTGCAACATAACAAACAAACAGATATATATATATATATGTATATGCTACTATCATATATCAGCCAGATGTGTTACTGTATATGTTACTTGTATAAGAATATATCATAATACATACTCACATACCATATGTATATATGCTGCAATGCTTCACTGCCTCAATGTTCTTTGCTTTAGCAAATTTCTAGCACTTTAGTGTTTGACCACATAAGCTCTTTTCGCCAGATGGGGAACTGAAGAAAAGCACAACTCAGTCTTCTCCATAGGGCTGGGAGGCAAGCATAAATGGCTTGGGTTCAGGAACCCTATGTCACAAGGCGCCACGTGGCTTGAACAAGCTCGGAAGCTTGTCTTGCGATTCAAATTGTCTTCAAACCTAGGTCAATAGCTCCACGTAGCACATGAAGGTCTTTGTGCACCAATAGGTTGCTAGACTTTTGCTTCCAGGTGCCGGGCTTAGGTATCTATATTCGCCCCAGTCCCATGAGCTTATCTAAGAGGTTTCGGGAGTCAAGACAGCGCCCCCATCTTTGGACATCGGACACGGACGCGCTACGTTGGACCTACGCTACGTTGGCCCGCCCTTTCTCTTGGATTCGGCTGTACAAAGAGGCCATGTGATCGTGTCTTTGCATGCTGGTGTCCAAGAAACATCTGCACACATCCAACTCTAGTGACTCTAGTATAAGACAAAACAACATCATTATTGAAATCGATTGCCTTACCCCAAGTAGCATCATGCACACATGGTCCACACTGCCGGACAACACTCAGAAGGTGGATTGACTTTGGCTGATTTGTTGCCGCCACGCACCCATGACTTTGATCCAAGGTCGTCCAAGGTGCGAAGGGAGCTTACTTGGATCATCGATGCTGACAGACGGATTTGCTCAAGGCTCGGTATCAAGCATTGGAGGCCTGCACTCTTAGGTTGGAGGTGCTTTTTGTTGCTGAATGTTGTCTTCGTATGACTGCCCCTGATCCAAGATGCTCCGATCTGGCATATACCACAGCGAGAGAGCTTTTGTCTTCAGGCCACCGTTTGGCGGCTTGAGCAGTCGGTCTTTCGGTGCTCAGAGAAGGGAGCCTCATCTCAATTGCCACCTCAGTTGGCTGTCCAGGATTGCTTCTCGCCACATGAAGCATGTCCAACGGCACTGAGACATGAAGTCAATGCTTTTGCAAATTAAATGCAATGAGAACCCAACTCTAAGAAGAGAAGTGCTCTTTCGAAAGAATCGGCGGTTGCAGGATCACATCTCTGTGCCGTGCAACCATCCGGGATGTCCGGCCTCTTGACTGGTCAATCACTCCGCCCCAGAGTTTCTTCAAAAAATCACACTCACCCGGCTAACCCTTTTCTCATTCTTCTCAAGCTGGACCGTTGGGTGGGTAGGATGACCCCACATGAGCAGTGCAACAGCAACCAGCAGCACCAACCCAAGGTTCACCAACGTGAGAGCAAACTAGCCCAAGCTCACTTGCGTTTGCTCCAACTTCAGTACAAGGGTGTTTCCACACCTTTTTCAGTACAATTAAGACACGTGTCAAATAGATGGAACAAAAACACACACCATGTCAAAAACACACACACACATCGATGCCGAATCCCCTTCGGCCCAAGGCACGAGAATCCCCTTGGAGACGAGCCAAGCCTGATTGCCTTGACACCAGTTCGAAAGCGCCACAAGAGATGGTCAAATCTGTGGGAGTCCTGATTAATAACTCCCTCCATTTGAATTGAACAACCTCATAATACGGGGGGAGTTATTAATCAAGAGTCTACATTAGGGTGCCATGGAGCCGCTTGTTACACGCTGCTGTTGATCTCCTACCCCACCAACAATGCTCTCCTCAGCATACTCCTCAGGACAGTCATATGAATTGGCCGTAAAATCGCCACATAACACTTGATTGTACCGTCATATGCGCGCACATTCCGTACATTTCCCACCATTCTTTTCTTTTCCTGCACCAAAGATCTTTCCACATCTCTCCAGCCATCCCCGGCCTGTGAGCTTGGAGACCGCTCGCGCTCGCCGCGCTCGCCCGGCGGAACCGGCCCGAGTGCGCTCCGCCGGGAGCAGCCGCACTTCCGGCAGAAGTTGGCGTCAGGGGGGAAGGTGCTTTGACACGTTCGGCAAGTCACCTGGTGCAGGGCCGAGTGACAGAGTGATCGGATGTGATTGGGTGAGAATTGAACCAGATGTTTCATCCAACTTCCAGGCTAGAACGACAGGAACAACTGGATGGAGAAACAAAATGAAACAGGTGACAATGTGATTGATCAGCTGTAACTACCAACATATGTCATATGCCACAATCCACAAAAACATTTAGTTACTTTTGTTTGAGGCTCACTGTAGGTTCCAACTGGAACCATCCAGCAGCACATACTTTGCAGCTGAGATGCACTTGGCAAAGGCTCAGACCAAGTCCTGTGACAATGCTGTGGCTCTGTTTCTCCGACTCACAAGCTTTTAAGTGGACACCTCTCGGCATGTAGCAAAGAATAGTCATTCCAAGTGCCAGGTAGTTGTCCACTTTCTGCTTGGCACTTCTTGGTTTTCGTCGGGGTGTCCCGTTCAACGGGCGAACTGGGTTCCAAAATTCTGAAACGAAAAGGTCAGCGTCTCACGCAAAGAGCAAAATGGATGAGGGGCGTTCTTGAGCATCGACCATGCAATCAGACAGATTGCCAAATCCTCCAACTGTGCCAAAAACATCCAAAAACAACAAGAACAAGAACAAGACCAACACCTGAAAAAGGAAAACCACGACATTTACGGAACAAAAAGGGTGGTGCAGGTGTACCGAACAAAAAGGCTCCAGTCGGCAATGCGACTCCACTCCGGTCTGTAGTTCGTACCCCATATAGCAATGGGTCTTCCTTCTGCCAAACATGGCCGATCTAGTTGTTCAGATGTTTCTTTTTAGGAGTACAGTAATTACAGTAGTTTGCTTTGTCCCAACATCCTCATACACCAGCCCCACGAACGACTGGCAATCAAAGGTACCACTGAAAGCCCCGCCCCGCCGATGCCGGGCCTCGGGGAGGTGGCAATGGTGGACATATGTCCTCGCAAGCTGTGTCGACAGGTGAGCGGGGTCATCGGGTCAATATCCACCAACTGCTTCTGTTCTGAATGACGGAAAAGGCGCCGCCAACGGCCTCAGGATCAGGTTTCAGGAAAGGGAACGTCAACACATCCTAGTCACTCTCCCCAGGTTGTAATTGTGGCACCAATGTCAATGACACAAGCAATCATCTCATGGATGATGGACTCCCAAAACCTTGGAGGTGGGGTCGTGTTAGTTTGGAAGGGTGTAATTCCTGTCGAGTGCTCCAGAAACCCTGTCTCTGAATTCCTTTCTGGGTGTATCTTCAATGCTGCAAAGCATGCATCCAACCACCTCCAACCTTTATGGTGCATCAAAAGACCTGAGGTTTTCAAGAATACCCCAAGGTTTGATGCAAGATCCTTGGTAAACCTGAGGTAACAGGATTCATCTGAAGACTTTCCAGGCGTTGGTCGCTTCGGGACTGATTTGGTCAGGCTCACAGAGCAAATCTTGGCCTGTGGCAAATATGCAGTCCTGGAGGTGGGCTGCTGGCTTGACTACTTCCTCAGCTGTTTGAAACTGTGAAGTAGCGTGCTTCAAGAAACCGAAGGACTCAAGCAGTCAGGGTATCGAAATTTGATCCCAAACACACAAATTCTTAACATATTTCAAAAAAGGACAAGATATATTCAAGCATTACAAAAAGTGAACTTATATAACTTGGACAAGGGGAGCAACAACATCAATGATCACACTTGACATCGGGGATGGTTTTAGAAAGGCAATTCCCCGACAGCAACTGTCGCATCTCGCCGCTCACTGAGATGGGAAGGGCAAAGCAAGAAACATCAACTAACACATAATTATTAAATGACACAGCATATACACGGCATATATTAATATGATACATACATACTGTAATATGTCACGCATCAATCAACTTGGATCCAAAGGGAAAACCTCTTGGGCTGAGGTTGTCGGGCATCATCAAGGATGTTTCCATCCCCCGGCTCCACTCCACTTCAGTCCCTTGCTCCGCGGCGAGGTCTGCACCGGAGAAGCCTGGTCAGACGAGAACGGAGCGAGTTCTTGGATGGTGTGGGTCATGGTGTGGGTCATGGTACCAACTACGGTCATCCCGATTTGATGGGCACCACTGGGATCAAGGGATTGATCCGATCACGTCACGTCAGCCGTGATCATTCTCAGCGAGGGTCGGATGTAGGCGTGGATCATGGTACACTACCATAGATCCCCCCAGAGATGATCTACCGATTTCATGGGCACGACTGGGGGGGTCAACCACAATTCAACCAACGGGTTTCTTCCCATCCTAAAACGTCAAACGGCCAAACAATAAATTAGCTGCAAAACGTTCCTCGTGCTAAAACATCTTATAATGATATATTCAATATCGTACGTATCATATATATATATATATCTTCTTGTTTCTTGGGTGAATCAGCCCGGTGGTTTGGGTGCGTTCATGTGCTTCCAGTGTAATGGACCGTCTGGGACTCCGGTTCTGCCAATGGCGACGAAGAGCTTCTGTCTTGTCAAGTCTATTTTGGTTGTTGTAGGGCGGGAAGACGTCCTAAAACGCAAAGCGATGGAACAATGGTGTCTTGGAAACTCCTGGGGATGCAAAGGTTACGGATGATACAGGAGCTGGGTGCATTTCATCCTTTTGAGCAATTCCAACCAGCATCGCTTGCGTACCCGTTTGATGTCACCCAAGCAAGCACTCAGCCACGATGCTGTGAATGCTGGAGGACAATAGCTTTGGAGACATCCCCAAGAACCGATCTTCCACACTCCAGCGTCACACATCCGAAGCACAGGTTAGCGCTCTGAGGCTCAAGCCATGAGGGAACGGATGTCCTCCATGTTGCTCGTGAGCTTCCTGCTTTTGCAAAGAAATCAAGGCAAAAAGGGGGCAGGTTTCACTCCTGGCATCGCTACTAGGGGCTCCTGGCCTCGCTACTAGGAGCAAGGACGCTACTAGGGGCTCCAGGCCTTACTACTAGGGGCAAGGACGCTACAGAAATTGCACCAGGAAGTCCAAGAGCAGGAGGTTGATCGAAACCATCACCACCAGGTATGCTGCAATTCCCTCGGGTTGTGCTCCTAAGCATGTCCTGATCCATCAAACACTAGCCCCGATGGCTCGCAAACTTTTTCAAGAAGTCAATGCCCAGCGTCTTCCCTGCGATCCATAGGAGCTTCCACTTTGTCAAACCCAAAGCATGCTTTTGTGCCTCTAATGCATCCCACTCATCCTTCGTCCTCAGGTCATAGTACATAGAGTCGGACAAACTTCCTGCTTCAGCCAAGCTGTCGACCCAGCTCTTCACCAGTTCGGGTGTGTAAAAGTGCGACATGATGTGCCCCTCACCCGCTCCGAAGAAGTAATCAATGGCAAATTCCATGAGCATGAAGTCAGATGTAAACCTTACCACACAAATGTTGCAACATGTCAACGAGAAGAAACACACTTTTAAAAAAACGAAACTGTAAAACAAAGAACTTAGACTTGAAATTTCTTGAAATGATCCAAGAAACAACACGGGTTTGCTGTGTGTTTCCAAATCCTGGCTGCAAAGTAATGCAACTTTCTTGCTGACCTCATAGGTCTCATCGAGGTTCAGATCTTTAATTTGCCTTCCCTGCAAGATTTCACAAATTCCTGAGAGGTGAAGGATTGCTTCTTTGGTTTTTTCTTCAACACATTGCAAAAGCTCGGGGTCTTCAGTGATGTAGCTGCATGCGTGCTGTTGACCTCCAGCCACAAAAGGTTCCTTGAATCGTGATTTGATATGGGAAATTGCATCCATCATGGCCTCATCTTCATTTTGGTATGGTGCAGGCGTCCAGTCCAAGAGAAGGGCTTCAAAATGAATACCTTTGAACATAGGCTTCCTACCCTGTCGCAAATTACCATTGCAACTGTTCCAAACCTTGAGCATAAATATGATTCTGCCAATCATTGGATGTTGCTGCAACTTCTTATTCCACCTCTCTAGGTGAAGTTTATGATTACTCTTGAACCACACTCCCTCCTTCATGTTCAGAATAAACTCTCCACCCTCCGGATTCTGGATGGCCGGAACCACGTCAACATCAAGGCGTAATGGGAAAAAGACATTGGGTGCCCGAGAGAGGTTCACACAATAGGACCCCTTGGACACATTGATGTCTGCAAACATATTCTCGAAGTAAGGGTCGAAGAAGTATTCAACCAACAAACGCTCACATTCATCCTCCACCTTCGAAGCAACCTCATCAGGCTTCATCTTCTATGCCCAATCTGGATCAAGCACCATCACAATGTCCAGATCTGAATGGTGAAGACCTGAGAATATATCAGCGCGCCGACTGGTTTTGCGGGCACTAGATCCACTCAAATATACATCTTTCACTGGCAAGTGGGTGTGCTTCTTTAATGCAAGATGAGTTTGACTACAGCGATGTTCCTACCTGTGATAGAAGTAGTTTTTTGGATCCCTGTAGCCAGTCTCTTCAGACTGAGCCATCTCTTCAGACTTTTCTCGATCAGGATACTTCATAGGACTCAAACAGTACAGTCCAATCGGGATCTGCTTCCCGTTCCATAGCATCCACAAGCACCTCCAGTTCCATGTCGCGAAAAGGCGTGGCCGTTCCTCTTTCCAGCGTAGCCAACACATTCCGCCGTATTTGGCCGTAAAGCCGATTCCGGAGCGTTTGTACTCGAATATACCTCCGAAGATTTTGAGGAGTACTGAACTTTTCCTCTCCCCGCTTGATGCTGGCAACACACGCAGTGCTTCGGATAGAAAGATCTCGACACTCTTCTTCCAGCTTGCCTGCTGACCAATATTTTCGCAGAAGCTTTAAATGAGGAGCAATGATCCCTTTCATTCGGAGATCCAGGTCTTGACACTTTTGGGGATACGTGTGAAAGACCAAAGGAAACATGAGTTGTAAACCATGCTTCTTCCTTTTGTATTCAGCACGTTCCACAAATTTAAATGCTGTCAGCGTCCCTGCAGCTGCAATCAGCAAACGGCGGTTACTTTGCATTGATGCACGCACACGACTGAACATGGCACCAAAAGACGTGGTATATCGATGTCCACTAGGCTTTAAGTCAACCTTCGAGCGTTCTATGGTAAATTGATCGGGCATTGGTTGAAAGTCCCGGGAGGTGCCTTTTCTTTTTTGCGTCTTCAATGTCTTACAGTATATGCAGCTTGGAAACGACTGTGATGTGCAGAGCACGTTCTCTCATCCAGCCCACGGGGTGAGTAATTATTGGTATATATACATAATATGGGCTCGCGGACATTTCGGGGCCTCATGAGAAGCCTTTGTTTCTGAATCATGTGATCCAACTTTATTTGTTGTATAAAAAAAGAAATATATATATATAGAATGTATGTGTATATATTGTAATTCATCCTCTAGCAAATTACATCGATGACGCAGTAGCGCATAGTTGGATCCGAATTTGGAATAATTGACCATATCGGGATCAACCATGATCAACCATGAAAACAACACTGTCACTGCGAATATCCCAAACACTCGCACGAAAAAGTCTGTTTGGAAATCTTAACATACGTGTATCACTTAACTAAGGGATGCCTAAGTCCACAAATGATTCCTTGACAAGCCGTCATCTTGTCACTTGATCGAGCAAACCGGTTTCTTTTGGCCCCTCCCCAGTGACCAAAGCATACTTCCCCAAAGCCAGTTGACACGTCAACTGGATCGATTCCGGTCGGGGAAGCACTTGGAACTTGGCACGGGTAGTGCCGGTCCCCACCTCTCGAACAGTTCGAATGAGGTTTCCGGCTGTTTCTTTTGGAAGGCGGTCCTTGTTTCCTCAATACCTAGCGGTTCCAAATAGGGTATTGATTGTGAGAATGACTCACAAAACACCATCAACATCCTGTTGGAGGAGCTTTCTTCACAAGATCACCATCCCAGTGGCGCCGGTGGTCCAATCCAAACGAGCATCGAAACAACGGTGAGGGCATTGTCGGGCTCTTGAAGATGGGGAAGAAATGGATGGATATCAGTGGAGGCGTCACCAACCAAGCAACAAATATATGGGTTGATTAGAACAGCACTTGTTTTTTTTTATCATATGGAGGTTCTTAAATCTCAGTATCCCGTATCCTGCAAATTGACAAAATGCTCAAGAATAGCCTGTGGTAAAGTCCCATATTCTCATGGGGCCAGTGAACTCCCAAGTATATAGATTCTGTCCATCCAAGATCGATATTTTATACAATGTGGGCTTAAAACCTGTCAGCCCTTAAAGCCTGTCGGCCCTCAGGCTTTACTTTTTGGGTTCAAATTATTTATCAAAAAAACTAGCGTGTGTGACATAAGATGATGTTCACCAGCTGCAGCTGTCCTCAAGGCTGACTCATAGTCGGCCTCTGGCTGACGAGGCACTTTGGAGGCCTTGGCGCAAAGGGATGCAAAGGGTCTTCTGAGGGGTCATCAGGCAAGTAAATAAGGTGGAGAAAAAGACAGGTCAATCATGGTCAATCAGTCTACTTGGTGCCAAGCTCTTCTGACCCAGGCTATCACGACCGGTCGAGTCACCAGGGTCACAACTGTGGCTATGGAGCCGACCGGTGTGGGAGACCGGCCCCACTCACTCGAGTCGGTCACGTTCACGTGGTGGCCCCTGTCTTACACACATGGAAATCACTCAGAGCGGGGGAACAAAGGTTCTTTGTACTGATGGCTCCAAGTATATACGATCAAAAGAGACTCCTACATGAAAACAGCGCAAGGACACCCCAGAATATTGCCATTGCCGTTCATGCGGGTGTGTGGGTGCGGGTTGGGGGGGAAATCATTTCTCCACAAAGTATCTGCTGAATAGATTGATGTCCTTTACCATTCATTACACGAAAAAGAACATTATGACATTGAGGGCCAACTATTGGTGTCTCGTCATGATAAATAACCCCCCAGGTCAGAAGGTGAAATGTGGAGCACCACCATCAAATTAATGTGGAGGGTTCCCCAAGACTAAATCCCTTCATAATACTTTTGCTGCACATCTCCATCAATTTGGCCAATCCTATCCAATGAGTCTCACTGAATGTGTAAAGTGCACAAGGTATGAGCCAACAATGAGACAGCATGAGCAAATGGCATCTTGGAAGGTAGGGTTTGAGAAAAGGAACATTTGGATTATATTGTATTGGATTGGTTGTAGTTAACTAGTCAATTGAGGATTGAATGGCCCATGAGCAAAATATCCAACTATACCCTGTAATTACAGCAAAACAATTGCGTAAGAAAACACTACTCAAAGAAATGATAACGTTAAATTAAAGGGGGTGAAGTGAAGAAAAGGAACACACACATGATTGGTATCGGAGGAACATTTGGCCAAGAAGTTGGAGCCTACTAATTGTTGCCTGTTCTGGTCTCCACTTTTGCAAAATTGGCCAGACGGTTGCACGCATGCTTTATGGACTAAAGCTTGGCCACAGTGGCCAAAGTGGCCACGTGAAACATCCATCCGACCGTGACTTCTGGTCACATCCGTGGGGCTCCGCGCCAGTGACTGGACGTCCGCTTGGAGTTGGGATTGTAATCTGGTCACATCCTGTGACTCGTGAGGACAGCCACGAGTGCCCCGGTTATTGCACGTTAAAACCCTTAACCACCTCCAGGGGTAGGCCAAGGGCCAAACCTTCGCCACCCAGAACTTGGGGAAAGACAGCTCTAAAGCAAAAACGTCCGAACAAACAAATTAGATGATTAACCCATTCAGCGCTTCAGTTGATCTACATATCTGTGTACAACTTGGCATCTTTGAGATTGGCAACATTCAATCCTTAATTGATAGCACATACAAAGAAAAAACACAAAGAGGTTCCAAGACCTGAGACTACAACGCTGGCACTCCAAGACATCACTCTCTCCGTGGAGACTAACCATGCCTCCACCTGGCCGGTGAGGTGCCCCAAGCGTTGTTCCAACCTCAGGCGTTACGGATTGGTTCGCGTCATCCAACGATGTGAGTGGCAGGGGGGTGGCCCTGAGAGGCCTGCATCGAAGCTGGGAGAAAACCAGATGCACCAATGCGAACATAAGAGAGTGACATCTTCGTGTTTGTGAATTGTATAAGGCCTCAGCTCTTCAGCTTAAGTTTTGGAGAAAACCAGTGGACAAGTCTTACTTGCACCAGCTAGGATACAAATTAGATGAGTGAAACCATTAAATTGCAAGCAATGGACAGGGAGGATTCCCACTAAGTAGTTCACTATGTCCATGGTCCATCCTCACCTGCCATGTAGTCGGGCCTCAGGCAGCAGATGTCATCGATGTGCCAGGCCCTCCCGACTGCAACCTGAGGTCTTGCATGACCCTCTTCTGCTCCGACCACAGCTCCTGAAGGGAAGGATCGGCGTCTGCCTTCGCCCAGGGATCAACGGCGGCTGTCACTTTCTGACGCTCATTCGATGGTGTAACTTGGGGTCCCAAGCAAATAGATATAGAAAGGTGAATCCTCCTTCAAGCATGTCTTTGACAGGGCTTCTAAGTGTGAATATACCCTTTATATCTATATCTATCTATATCTATTCATGTATTTCTACCTCTTGATTGAAAGACTTGCCCACGGATGAAATGACAACTGTTGAGGATATCTTTGCAATCATCCTCCTCCAGCCCTCCAGCCCATCTGCTTCACGCGCCATTTCACCGCGATGGAGGCTGGACATGGCGGAGCGTTTCGCGTTTCGAAACAGGAAACAGCGAACGGTTCACCACATCGCAGTGTCCTGGGCACGAAACAACATCGCCCATCGAACCAGCATGAAGCACAAAGAAGCGGCCCTATGCGATTCCAATCAATGATGTGTTTCACTTGGAAGCGATGTGCTTCCGCTCAGCACCAAACCATTTTCGCACGAATTCACGCTGCTCAAACGTCTGTGGAGACTTCGATAAAGACCCAACGTCCAAAGCACTACCCCTCAGGGTGCAAGACGAGTGCGTGCGAGAGAGCGAGAGAAAAAGAGAGAGAAAGAGAGAGAGAGTGGCCAAAAGCATGTCATTGAGACTACCATACTCTCACCTGATTGGCAGGCCAACCAGCTCAGGTCGCTCTTTCGTTTACACCATCATCAAGTGCCCAGCACAAAAATAACTCTGACAAATGCACCAAACCATGGGGGTCACAGTGACAAGCACCCACCTGGAAGTGTATCCCACTTGCACCAGCTGCAAAGCCTCATCAGCAGAAAGCTCTGGGTGCAAAGCTCCCAACAGGCAAGCTGCGACCACACCTAACGAAGGTTGCTCGCACGCATGGTTACTTGGAGAAGTACTCGGACTATCTTGGGCCATACATAATTCACAGTCAAACAAATATCTACGGCTGGCAAGGGTGTATTGCACTGGACAAAGTTCTGGTTCGTGAACAGTTCCCCAACTGCCACACCAACACCCCAACCACCAAAATCACCTATCACGGCAAACTCCCATCAACCTCTTCCCTCTCCGATCGTCGGCCCAGTGCACCGCTCCGGCCGCGGCCGCCCCAGCAATGCACGTAGACCCGCTGGTCGCTGAGCAAGCGCTCTTTCAGGTCGCCGACCAAGGTGGAAAGCTCCGAGAGTCCTGGGGTGCCCAGGTCCTGGCGGCGAGATCCGAACGCACCCTTGGAGATCGAGATCTGAACGCACACCTGAGGTGGAATGAAAAAGGGTGTCTGAAATGGAGACGAACATGAAAATGATTGAAGTGCTGCAAAAAAGGACCCATTCGTTCACGGACCCATGTAACCAACCAATGTCAGTGATGGAAGAGATCTGGAGGACAGTATCATAAATACGGGAACCCTCTACTTCCAGTGGCTTGCGTGGGTTCGGTGCTTGCCCAACGGCTCAGTGAATGAAGCACGAGTTGCTGAAAACAGTACTCTTTCCAGAGTATTCTGGGGGTCATCCACCAATCACCAAAATATAGTTGTATTACTGTATTGACTATTGGCTGACAGCGACTCTTCTGTTAACAAAGAAATTCACTTTCAACCTCCCAATATGTTGGAATATGAACATGCCTCGGGCCAACCTTAGCTCAGGACAATGTATTTGTTGCACAACAAATAGCGGAGAAATGGGGATTTGGGGAAAACCATGCTGCAACGATCTGTCTTGAGTCTTGACTTGAAGCGGACGCTAAGGCGAGCACTGCAATGGGGTTGTGCCTTGGATGATTGCACAAGAAAACACATCATTGATTTGACCGAATGCTTAAGAACAGATTGCTTGCAAGCCCAAACCCTTTTCATTCTACCAGCGTTTGTTGCGTTCCTGAGCCCAGGACTTGAAATTACACCATGTACTGTACGTGTGCGAACGCGTGCCATTTCCACATGCGGGATTACAAATGAACACACATGCAAATCGATTTCCCATGTGCACTTCAAACACAAACACACATGCGGTGGTGCAGCCTGGTGATGTTGCTTGTGGGAAATCCACCAAATTCCAACCATCCAACGTATCCCTAAACTACATGTCCAGGCTCAAAGCTTCCTGAACGTTGCGCAACAAATTAATCTGGATCCAAATTCCCAAAAACAAGGTGCATCGATATCCTGTCTGATGCCTGATGCCGTGAAATATAGCAGTATTTCAGCTATATGATTACATAATTACTGGTGGTAATGTTAAATCTACTACATCCTGTAGCCCAACTACTCGTCCACTCCACTATATATCCCACATGTCCTCCCACACCAGCCCTGGCAGCCCTCATGTCCAAGCGACAAGAAGTGCAGCTCGGTCCTCAACGCCAGCTGTTGCGCCCGCGCGCCATATGGCTGGAAGGCACCAGCGAAGCCCGGCACGTGAATTCCACCGCGAGGCCAGGGGGCGAACTGTTCGGGCAGCTCCGACCTGAACACGGAGGATTCGAGACAGTGAATTCGAGACAAGAACATGGAGGCGTTTTTGGGGGCAAACAGCGTGTTCAGCACCGAACAAATATCTTACTATATATTATACTATATATATATATTAATAAATTCTGACCGGACCTGACCTGACCATGAACAACCGAACTTTCACCATCGACAGCTGCTTTGGGGCAGTGACGAAATTGTGTGTCATGATTTTTGGGACCTACCTTCATTAATGGACTGAACAAACAGCGGCCCCAGTGTGTGTTTTCGTACCTTAAATGATCAATCCCGGAAGCACGTGCCTTAGAACTTTAGAACATTAGAACCAAGTTTAAGTACCTTATGGACATTGGGAGGAACTTTGGAGCGGTCACTGCAGTATGTGAACGATAGCTTCCTTCAGCTGAAGCCACACCCAACCTCCAAGGTCACAAATCGTCTGCAATCCAAGGCCTTTCGAGGAACGGAGCAGCCCTGGAGATGATCAAGGAAAGCATACTAAACACCAACACCTTCGGAAAGTCTCTACCACCCTCCAAACGGCTTGGACCGGGATCGTTTACCGCACACCGGAGCATTGCTCGACCAAGGCGCTGCAGGCAAACAAAGGTGGTGATCCCAGCCTGACACGGATCCATCCACGGCAGCACACAAACACGTGATGCACAGTTGGACCCACACATCCCCAAAAAGGTACTACAAGAAAGGGTAGGTATAGCGATCGCATGATAGCTGGAGAAAAAATACAGAAGAAATGATGAAGAAATGATGAAATGTGAGTGATACTATAACCCTGTGTCAGAAGCCATGTCGATTGAGGTGCTCTGAACTGATTGGAGTGCTACAATGACTTGCAAAGCCAAACTGATGATGAAATGCAAAAAACAGAAGCCACTCCAGTGACTAAAAACTTTGCACGTTGACCCTTTCAACTTTCAACTCTTGAATGGACAACTGCAGCATGCCCCCCCAAAGCAAACCATGCGGGGTATAAATCTCTGCACAGAATAAACACGTGCTCAATATCATATATAATATATATATATATATATATCCTACATGTGAAAGTCGGCCCTAACTAACTCCTGGGCCGCCCGAAGAAAATTCAAAACCTCAGAGTTCAAGGGCTTTCCACCACCCATTCGGGGTCTTGTCCATGAACTATCAAGAAAAATAAACAATGATCGAGCAAGGCAGCTGCCTGCAGCAAGCTTTGAAGCTGATCTTTGGCTTCGGCTTCCGATGGGCAGTAGACCGGACTCACATAGGGATACCGACCTGGCGAAAGCAGCGTGCCGCAGCGTGCCGACCTCATCCTTCTGATCACCCACCGGCTTTCCATGCATTTCACACGTTTAAAGAGGAATTCAATTGGATTTGGGGTGTCAAAACTTGGATTCTATACAGCCCAGTCCGCCTATATACTGACACGGTCACTAGGCCTATAATACGGCCGAGTCACCGGGCCTACCATCAACCGCTGGGGGATCAGCCAGTTCGCATGCTCCGAGAAGCGCGCCGGAGCGATCTCCATCCAGGAACCTGCGTCGTCCGAAGCTTCGGTCCCACCCGGTCCACGAATGGTAGCGCCGCTTCGCGGAGAAGGAGATCTTCTCAGTGCTTGGTACTGTGCTTGACGCTACGAAAACAATATGAACGCGTTGATAAACACTTTCACTTTGGATCATTTTGGCAAGGGGGGGTTGATGCCACCCAGGGGCGGCAACGCACAATTGTTCACCTTTGCTTCACCAAAAATTATGTTTTGGATGCTTACCTTGAGTGAATTAAGTGCAGAATTTGCAACTCATTGCCAATTCCACATTTGAAAATCACCGTCCTTGGACAACCCGAATCTTTCTTTCGTCAGAACATATGCAATGCAGTGTATACGGCACACACACACACACGCACTGGGTTCGCTAGTTCCTGCGTTGCTTCCTCTCGCTCGCTCGAACCAAGCAAAACACATTCTGGGCTTGTCTCCCAATATCAAAGATATCCGCTGGTGAAGAACCGTTGAAGTTGTCGAAACAAAACTGGTTTTCAATACAAAACTGCGATACTATTGCTATTTTAACATGTGTATGTATGCACGAAGTGAAGACCAAGTGTCAAAAACTGCGGGAATATATTGCAATTTCAAATTGGTATGCGGCAAACCTCTGCCTAGAACGTCACCTTGGAGACATCGGTGGAGCAGTAGCTTAATGCATAATTTTGATTGCAACTTTTATTGCAAAACGCGCACAAACCGACATAAACATCGACAAACATGTTACTGCAAAAGCGAACACACACACACACACCTGCAAAAGCGTAGCCTTGGAGACATCTAGTGGGGCAGGACCTGAATCCATACATTCTGCCGAAAAGCTGCACATAGACCTGCTGTATAAACGTCACCTTGAACACATTTTTTGGGTATAGGACCTGAACGTGTGCATTTGACCACGATAACGTAACAAACCTGTATACTGCAAAAAAAAACGTACACAAACCTGCATAAACAGCACCTTGGAGATCTCTTTGGGGCAGGACCTCAACCCACACATTGTGCTTGAAAACTGGACGTAAACCCTGCATAAACACAAATCCACACATGTTTTGCCAAAATGCCCATAAACCTGCATAAACATCGCCTGAAAGACATCTTAGGGGCAGGACCTGAATCCACACATATTTTGATGACACAAACGCACACAAACCCACGTAAACCTCGACTCGAAGAGATCTTTGCTTTCCTCGTCCTGTGAACACCTTTTTCATCTCACCGTCTCATACCTTACAATCCTTAGTTACACCAGAGTAACTGTACAGCCGAAACGCTCTAGGGCCAACCGTCGACGAGTTTTTCACTACGAGGTGAGGCACGCCCCAGCGCCGCCAGCGCCAGCGCCACGCCCAGGGCTCGTCGCCACTGCATGGGACCCGCCACGTGGCGCGTGGGGCGCGCGGACCCGCGCGATATTTGGAGTGGTCTGTTGATATAGACACTCGGAATTGCTTCAGACACCGGTCAACCAAAATGCACCAGATTTTTTGACCTCCTAATGCTTTTTGTGCAAGCTTGTGCAGGACTGACCCAGGATGTTCCCCACCAGATCACTCATTCTGACAGCCCACCCAACATGGTGGGGAGTTCCAGTGAGTTCGCTGGACGTAGGTGCTGAAGCGCCGGCGTCTACGAAAGCAACCAAGCGTGCTTGCTGTAAAGCCGATTCGGCTGATTGGATCGGACTGTACCAAGTGGCTGAAGTCGACTTCGTGACTTCTGCGCTGAAGTCGACCACTTCAAAACTCTGTACAATTCCTGTTGAACAAACAAACATGTATTGCTAGTTCCTCTTCCAGGGCGCAGATGTACGCCATAGCAACACCCAAATCAACATGCACACTACCAATCTTGGAATTCAATGTCATCACTTGGCATGTCACTCTTCTCCTCCCCCAGGCCCCCTGCCGGCTCCTCCTTCTCCCTTTCTCGCCTTGAGATGCAGCGTTCTATCCGTGCATGGCTCGGTACTTAGTCAGCTAGTTTGTGAATTCTAGATGATACTCAAATAATACAAGTTCCATCAAGTTCCTATGTGTCTCTGAAACCTCAACAAACTCACTTAAACAGACTCCTCTCTACATCATTTTTCCGTCAGCCTGGCAACCTCAGACCAATGTCTCTACCACTGGGTGCCCCACAAGTGAGGAACCTCCTGGCAATGCGACAAGATGATCTGGTCCAGCAGGGAACTTTCCACTTGAGAGCGCCGGGAGGATGTTCTGGCTAAGAGACCCTCCCCACAAAATGGCCCACCTTAGCATACCCTAGCAGGGTTTGGACAATGCCTTTCCTGGCAAATTGACTGCCAAATGTAAGGTCTCTTAGTTGAGGGGAGTGTAACTGGACTGCGCTTCCCTGGGGTGCAAACTGAAGATGTTTTTGATCTGTCTAATCTTCCCGTTTCAGCTGGTTGCTTTGCTTTGCAACCACTGAAGACCACTCTAAACCTGTTGCATTGGCCCAGTCCATAGCTCTTCCCGTTTCGTCCGATCGTCCCAGTCCTCACGAGAGCGGAAGGCTTCATCCATGGCCTGCACCACTCTCGGCTTCGGCGGGAGCTGCTTTAGACGACGCGAAGACGCGAGGCAGCGAAACATGGGGATCGCATCCAAACAAGGAACAGGACTTCGCCGAAATGACTCGTGTTTGTAACATGTTGTAAAGCAACCCCTTTTTTTTTGCGAGATCCAAAGCAAAAGCCGGTCTGATTGTGATTCACGGTGAATGGATCCCAAAAAGCTTGTGATGGACATCTAGTGGGAAGAATTTGAGATATTGGCGGTGCTGGCTGAAATCTATAACCCCCCACCTGAACGCTAGACGTGCATTTCTTCTTTCATCAGCGGATTTGTCGGGGGGTCAAATTCAAATTGTCATGTGCCTGAGCTCACCTCCCATTCACAGAACACAGCATCCATGATCCTCCTAACCTGCCCGCAGGGTGACGATGTGCACCATGCATCATGGGGACCACTCGTCATCATCTTTTGGAGGCCGCAGGTATAGCACCGTTGGAGCTGCTGTCGGAGAAAGAACAGTGCTATGAACCCGTGGCACGGGGTGACAGGTGCTAAAGAAAAATACCCTGGCCCTCGACCGGTTGACACCAGGATCCACCACAGTCACACCCGTTTTCTGCACGAGTTTCTCCATCACGAGTGCCGTCCAGTCCCCCAGAGGCTCATCGTCTCTTCATAGGCTGCATCATGCAGCTACATGCAGCCAAAACCCTGAAAGAGCAAGTCTCACCAAATCTCGGTCTGGGATCCCCACCCCAAAGTATATTGGCACATGGCCCTCTTACAACAGCGACTGGATGGTAGCGCCATGTTGGAAGGTCCTCGCAAATCCAATCGCTGGAGCTGCCCGTACTGGACCTCCATCCGCACCCCGGGTCACCTCCATGCGTTGCTCCAGCCTGCGCCAGGCTGTGCCATCTACTCAAGCAGTTTTGGAGCTGAATGTATTTCTAACAAGGATTGTCTTCCTGAGGCTTCCTGGCAGGACGAAGTCAGCCGCTCCATCTGTACTGAGCGCTGACTTGGAGCAGTCCAAGATAAATAGGATAGGCCTCATGGTCTTTGGGGCCAAAGTATGTCTGCAGACCCTAGCTGGGGCCCTCTGGGACAAAACTGGACCCTCTGGACTGCAAGCCTACCCAGACAAGTTTCCTTGGTCCCACATCCATTCTGCCTGGTCATCCTGCGTGAGAGTTGCTCGCTCAGCTGGGAGATCTGCTCCTGAGCGAAAACAATGGACATCGAAGACACATGATGCCAAAATGCAGAAACGATGAGTTGGCCAAGGAATGAACAAAGCTAAGCTAAACAATTACTAAGCATAATAAACAAAGTCATGAAGATTGAATATGATCCAGTTGCACTCCCAACGTACTGAAGAAGCGGCGTCGGTACCGCTGGACACATCTGTCATCTGACAATGGTGGATGGGCCGGAATCATTGGCTCACCCAGAACAGGATGGCACCACGCCTTCTCAAACTGCGGCGCAGCAGTTCTGGCTAAAGCCTCAGATCCGCCCCGAAAATGACAAGAATCAGACTCACCAGTCAAATCACACCTTGAAGGAGCGGTTATTGGTTCCAAGGAAATGAAACATCAGGATCGGCAAATCTGAGATCACAGGGGAAGCCGACAACTTTCCGTTGTTTGGCCTTGTCTCTTTCATAACAAGTTAAAGGAAACCAGCGGAAGTTCCATCACCTGCGAAGTGATGTGATGTTGAACAACCCGAACTCAATGAACTCAAGAAACTCAACAGCGCAATGCAGCACAATGCAGCACAATGCGCCAAATCCTCTTTCTAGCACTTTGCACTGTTCATTCACATCGAATTCTGTGAGACAAAGCGGATGAAACATGATATAACATGATGACACTAATACTCTGACACTATGGCCTTATGGTTGTGTCCATTTGGGTTTCGTTCGATAAAGGTCCAAATCTTCCACCCAGTAAATGGTGCCGGCCAGGCCATAAACTCCAGACAGCAAAGTGCCCATGCCGTTGAGAAGGGAACATGTGTTTCGAATGGCAAATGTCCAAGCATAGCAGCTCAACACGAAAGAAAAGGGAGTGTCAAAACACTGTTCCAACTTCAACATTCTTAGAACTGGTTCTGTTTTGAACCCTTTGATGGCCGACTTCTGCAGTTCTTGTTTCAAGTTCTCATGACGTGCCAGCATCACTTCGGCTACTGTGCAAGTCAACATGATGAATGTTGATGCGGCAGCGAAATAGAACTGCCCTGCCATGATGAGATTGAAGTTGGCGATCAAGTCCAACACCGAATCTTGCAGGAAACCGTTGAAAGTACATACCGCCTGTGTCGCAATCCAAGGAGTCAAGTCCAGAGAGTTCACAAGGCATCTGTTCCCTGAACTGCAAAAACATGAGATTTCACAGTGAAAGCCAGCAGGTATCAACCAAATACCTGAGAAACTGCACAACGAAAGCCAGCGTTATTTTGTCACGAGCGGCACGGCTGCGGTGAAACAAGGGTGCAAAGCAGCCGCCGTGAGCCAAAACTGGCCCTCAACGAGGGGCGTCAGGAACAGCGATTTTGTCAACTCTGTCGGGGTGGCGACTCCTTGCGGTAACATCCTGGGTCCGCGCGTTGTTGGCGCCCACTCTACCGTAGAGTAAGGCGCGCGCGCGCGCGCGGACCCAGAGCAGCGGAAAACGGTCCATGCAAATAGGAAATACACTGAAACTCCATCCAAACATCGACCTTGTTGTAGCGGAAATGGGTCTTTTTAGGAGGGGCCTCTTGTCCATGTACAGTCATCATGATTCTTTCAGGGAGTCGCAATCTCTTGCCCAGCAAAAGGATAGTTTACACAGAAAGACGGGATTGCGATCGAATATCCAATGATCCAGTGATGTTGCACTTCAAGTTCCCTCTCCAGTCTCATTGGCGCGTTGAACTTATATAGGTGTGTCGGAAGTAAAGCACAATAGCATTTATACGGACCCAAGGTAAATACAATTCAGTTGCGTGGTAAAGCACCTCAATTTCCCTGTCCCGAAGCCGCTAGAGTATTCAGGAGGGGCGTCTTGTCCATGTACAGTCATCATGATTCTTTCAGGGAGTCGCAATCTCTTGCCCAGCAAAAGGATAGTATACACAGGATTGTTTACACAGAAAGATGGGATTGCGATCGAATATCCAATGATCCAGTGATGTTGCACTTCAAGTTCCCTCTCCAGTCTCATTAGTGCTTTGAACTTTGTAGGTGTGTCGGAACAAAGGTAAGGAGTCGCAATCTCTTGCCCAGGAAAAGGATAGTTTACACAGAAAGACGGGATTGCGATCGAATATCCAATGATCCAATGCTGTTGCACTTCAAGTTCCCTCTCCAATCTCATTAGTGCTTTGAACTTATACAGGTGTGTCGGAAGTATAGCGCAATAACATTTATACGGACCCAAGGTAATTGTAATTCAGTTGCATGGAATAGCACTTCAATTTCCCATTTCCCTAAGCCGCTAGAGTCTTTTTAGGAGGGGCCTCTTGTCCATGTACAGTCATCAGTCATCATGATTCTTTCAGGGAGTCGCAATCTCTTGCCCAGCAAAAGGATAGTTTACACAGGATTGTTTACACAGAAAGACGGGATTGCGATCGAATATCCAATGATTCAGTGATGTTGCACTTCAAGTTCCCTCTCCAGTCTCATTAGTGCTTTGAACTAATATAGGTGTGTCGGAAGTATAGCGCAAAAGCATTTATACGGACCCAAGGTAAGGAGTCGCAATCTCTTGCGCAGCAAAAGGAAAGTTTAAACAGGATAGTTTACACAGAAAGACGGGGTTGCGATCGAATATCCAATGATCCAAGGATGTTGCACTTCAAGTTCCCTCTCCAATCTCATTAGTGCGTTGAACTTATATAGGTGTGTCGGAAGTATAGCGCAATAGCATTTATACGGACCCAAGGTAACTACAATTCAGCTGCATGGAATAGCACTTCGATTCCCATTCCCCTAAGCCGCTAGAGTCTTTTTAGGAGGGCCTCTTGTCCATGTACAGTCATCATGATTCTTTCAGGGAGTCACAATCTCTTGCCCACAAAAGGATAGTTTACACAGGATTGTCGTTGATGTTGCACTTCAAGTTCCCTCTCCAGTCTCATTGGTGCGTTGAACTTATATAGGTGCGTCGGAAGTATAGCGCAATATAGCATTTATACGGACCCAAGGTAAGGAGTCGCAATCTCTTGCCCAGGAAAAGGATAGTTTACACAGAAAGACGGGATTGCGATCGAATATCCAATGATCCAATGATGTTGCTCTTCAAGTTCCCTCTCCAATCTCATTAGTGCTTTGAACTTATATTGGTGTGTCGGAAGTATAGCGCAATAGCATTTATACGGACCCAAGGCAACTACAATTCAGTTGCATGGTATAGCACTTCAATTTCCCATGCCCCAAGCCGCTAGATAACCCTTGAGAAACCATCCACATTCAGATGACGCAAAAGCAAAAAATGCGTTTCTTGCATGGCCACCCGCTCCAAAATCACCAAAACATCACCTCCAAAACAACCTCCAAAACCTTCCATCCGTGCACCCTCCTCCCCCAGCATGCGCCGAGTTTACGTGTACCTTTCTCGGGCCACCCCCAGACCCCCTACCTATCACTTTGTTCGCCAAGCGCAACTCAGCTGGCGCCTTCTATGAAGGCTGGCTTTCGTAACATAGAAAGATCATGAAAGATCACATAAGCTCAAGAAACAACAAGGAGACGAGGATACAGTAAAGACCAGAGATTCAACAAAGCAATGAATGGGAAACGCAAAGCAGGGTATGCATAGTCTGTCTCTATACGAATATACATATGTATAAATACATGTTTTTCTATACATATGTATGTGTATATACATAAATGATAACATCTATATATATATGTACATACAAACATATAAACATGTTAATGTAGTATAGCTGTATAGAGTTGCATCATCATCAAATGACTCTGCAACAATATGATTAACCAAGTCTCAAATCTCAAGCCCCGCCTGGAAAAGGGTTGAGCACGAGCCCTTTCTCAGCTGTCACGGTGATTCCATCAACTTTGATGCTGTTGACTTCATCTGCAACGCTGGTCTTCTTGATGGCATCTTCTAGCTGCCCCACGATGTCTGAGTCGCTTTCTGTCAAAGCTGCTCCTCCCATTCCCAACATCTCCAAGATCGCCTGACCCAAACGAAGCCGAGAAACCCAAAGTAGCAGCGGTACATGAGTGGATCCATTGTGTTCGTTGATGGGCATGCATTTTGTGAGGCTGCAAGGTTCAGCAAAGGTGGAAGTTTGGGGGTTCCTCCAACCATCCACTTGGTCCACTTTTGAAAAGCCCAAGCTTTGACGGGTGCGACCCCCAAGGCGTACCAGATTTCCATTAAGCACTCATCTGGCATCATCGTCATCCAAGCGGTCAGTGCCAAGCAAAGGAACGTCGCTATGACCCGCAGTACCCAGGCCAAGCTGCAGCCTGCACGTTTGTCCAGGCCAAGCAGCAGTACCGGTTCCTTGAGGGCACGGGGGCCCACCTCAAAGGCCTGTGGCAAGATGTAAATCAGGGCATAAAACGGAAGGAAGGATTTCACCTCGATCCACAGCATAGCCATGCCTAAATCCCTGTGGCCCTTCCCACCACGTGCCACATGGAATTCTTGACCACCGACTGGAGGGCAAGCCTCCTCGGTCCTGTGGCTTCCGTTTCTTGTGAGGCATTTGTGAGGGCATGGCTCCGAAGAGGAAACTGCGGAAGACTGACAAGCCCATGGAGGTTTTGAACTCCTTCGTTCCTAGCCGTGTCTGCAGAAGGGCGAATCCCGTTGGCATGGACTCTTTCAAAAATTCAATAAGTTTGTGGAATCTCAATAAGTTTATCTCAGTGCTGCATTTTTCACTTCTTTCACACTGTGCTTGTCTATCCTGTGCCATTTGCAAGACTGTCTGCCCATGCGGGCAGTGAGTTCTGCCGGATCTTTGCAGTCCTGGGGTGGCCAAACTGAGCTGCCCAGTGGAGGGTCACGTCTGGATTCTTTGCCAGGATGGCCTTCACCATCCCTGCCGTTCAAAACCTGGTTGCAATTATCAAGGCTGAGAAGCCCTCCTTGTCCTGCAGGTTCAAGTCAAGATGGCCTTCACCATCTCTGTGGAGTTCTTGTTGGCTGCCCGCATCAGAGGCGTCACGCCATTTTCGTCTTGTTCATTGATCTCAGAGGCCTCGAAGGCCAAGGCCTTCTTCACCAGGTTCAAGTCTGGATTCTTTGCCAAGATGGCCTTCACCATCTCTGTGGAGTTCTTGTTGCCTGCCCGCATCAGAGGCGTCATGCCATTTTCGTCTTGTTCATTGATCTCAGAGGCCTCCGAGGCCAAGGCCTTCTTCACATCTTTCAAATCTCCTTTCTTCACCGCTTCCAGCAGTGAGGCGCCAGCCAAGGGCAGGAGGAGGAGCAAAGTGATGCGGATGGCCATGGCGACGCGGCGATGCTTATGTGAGCCAAGTTTTCTGCAACAAAAGCGATGCAAAGTCATATGTGTTGTTCTAAGGCACGTACAACACACTGCTGTGTTCAATCTGGTTGGTGGTTTAAGATTTCACTGGCGCTCAAGACTTCCCTGTCTGGGCATTTCACCTCCCTCACTGTCGAGGAACAGAAGGATGACGTCGCCTGGTGCCCCCAAGGAGGCGGAAGGGGGCAAGGCCGAAGGAGGCCCAAGGCAGCCCAAGGTCAAAAACATCGGATGGATTGTTGGGGTGTGTTTGCAACCAAAAGAAACAAATCATGTCAAAGGTCATCGCCAAAGAGTTTCTTCACCTCGTCTGATTTGGCTGACTCTCGGAGCACTTCACTGAAGAGTAAGCAGGCAGGGGATATTTTGTCATCTACTCCCGGACCCTCGTTGTGGTCCACAAGACCACATGGGATCTACACTGAAACCACAATATTTCCACCAATGGTCAGAAAACATCCAAAACTCTGTCTGAGGGGAGGACTATACTGCAAAAGTCTGGGTGTCCTGACAGTGATCCAACCATCTTGGCGCCTAAGTCCTCAACAATCGTAGAAGTGGACTATTTGACCCACGTTCCGAAGTGTCACCAACCTGAGAAAGACATCCTGTCCTCTACACTCCTTGTAGGGAATCGCATCCCCCACACTTCACCCGCACCGCGGAGGGTTGATTTCCGCCTGCGCGCAGGCCTCGATGGCTTCGGCCAAGGCCTTGCTGTGCTGCGTGGGGGGGGAAGGATGGTGAAGGATGGAACCTACTAGCGATGGCCTCCAACCTAAGAGCAATGGCCTCTAACCTAGCGGCTTTTGACCTCCCTGCGCCAGAAATTCTCTTTGCATGAGCGGAGCAGGCTTTTGAGCATTAAAAAAAGGTCTTCGACGATGTGACATGTTGTCACCTTCACCTTCATGGCATGACCTTCAACTGCAAAACATGAGTGCTTGCTCGGGGTTTTCCATGATGCACTCCCCCTTTGACCTTGGGTCAAACCGCACATGGGACTTACTCAGCTCCCCGCCACTTCAGTCCCTCATGTGGGTCATTCCACAAAAAGTCCTCTTGGCAAAAGCTCAAGACCCTCTCGCTTCAACCCCTTCAGAGGTCATACCCGTCATACTCATCGGTGTAGTCCGAGTCTGACGGCCTTCTTCTCACTTCCCTCACGCCAATGACGTCCCAGTCGTCGAGCTGTGGTGGTTCATCAGCTTCTCGCAGTGCGCGATATGCACTTGTTGCAGCCTGCGTAGGGCTCATGGAAGCTGTGGCGACCGCGAGCACCACCACCTTGCCACGATCGCTTGCCGCATCTCAAATATCTTGATTCCAATTTCTGGGAAGCCACAAGGTAACATGAGTGTTTGGAGACGCCACTTTTAGAAGTGGAAGCCACTTTCCATGGCTGCCAGCCACTTTTGGGAAGCTAAGATTTGTGGCTGCCAGCTAAGAATCTTTGCTGCCCGCTTCTAGGAGGCTCTCCAAAAGTGGCTGCCAGCTATGAAAAGTAGCTTCTCGGATCCTTAGGGTTCTCAGGACGGGGATCTGCAATGCCTTGAAGCAAGCGAGCATACAGTTTTGCAACTGCTTGGATGACGTTGCCTTCTTTTCGGTTGAGCAATGGCATGGCCAACGTCAAATGCTTGACCTTCGTGTCCTTCAACTTCTCAACCTCCAAGGCGAAGTCCCTCTTTGCGATCTCCTCCTCCGTGATGTGGGCTGCGTCATCCCCTTTAAACGGGTTGTCATCTGCGTCATCCTGGAGTTTTGGCAGTTCGTCCTGGAGAATGTCCTCAGTCGCGGGTTCCCTGTCAGGCTGAGAGTTTTGTCCAGGCCGCCATCCCCACATCAGGGGTCGTTCCTCAGCAAAGGGAATCGTGACAGTGGAGACCAGGAAGTACCTTGGGTGGCCTTGATCTTGATCTTGGCCCGCTTCAAATGGTCCTGCAATATCCAGGGACATGGCATAGGCTTCAGGGTTAGCGAAGTCGTGGGCGATCACGTCCAGCACCTCTGAGACACTCAAGGCAATCCCGCCTTGCCGGCGCGTGCCCCTGCAGCAGGTGGTTGTACCACTCCACATATTCATGGGCATGAACACCAACTCGCGCCAAGCTGCATCAACCACACGCTGTTCCAGTCCATCCGCCCGACATGCCAAATCTTTTGACTCCTGTAGGGCGTCTTCAATGTTCTCAGGCCATGGAACTGCTGGTCGAAGATCACGAGCTCCATCCAGAATTGCGACTTCCCTCATTGAAGTCCACAAGCATGTTGGTTTCTTCCGACGGTGCCGCACATGCACCTTGGTCCAGGGTGATCTTCTTGAGTTGGAGGTCTTTCTCCAGCACCTGCACGACCTCAGGCCAGTTTGTAAACGTGCGCCTGTCTCCCATTCCTGACTGGATGCTGGATTCCTGAGGATGTGCGTGGCTCCTGAGTCTAAGAGCGCCCCACACCCCTCCTGGGACACACGTGCAATGATGCTCGCAATGTTGGTGGCCGTAGGTTGAGCTCTCAGCAGCGATGTGCCTCCCCCAGGAGTTCCTTTTCTTCACCATTTGACGCTGCCGACTGCGAACTTGCTCTATAGCTCCTCAAAATTGAAGTGTCCTCCCCTCTTTTGGTAGCAGTCTCACTCCGCCCAGCTGGCATTGCAGCTGTTCCACCAGTGGTTGAGGTATTGGTTGTTTCCGGTGTCAACCTTTTGAACTTTGGGTGCATCACACGATGACTTGCCCTTTCCTTTGCTTTGGCTCCCTCCTTCTTGGTGCCCTTCTTGGTGTCAGCCTACGCGCTCTTGCGATGCTGCAGACTCCCAGCAGCGAGAGGCCTTTGTCCTCCACCCCTTCCCACGAGTGACCAAACTTGCACTTGGCTCCCCGCGTACATCCGGCTGCTGTTGCCCGGAACTTGCACGGTCGTGCTGCCACAGAAGACATCGAGGTCGTTTGGAGCTGCTTCACCTTGGACTCCACATTCTCCTTGGCTGCCACCGACGTTGTGAGGGAGATCGTTGTCATCTCAGCTTGCAAGAACAGTGCAAACTGTGTCACAATGTTTTGGTCAGCTTTGACATCCAGGCCAAGTTGATGTCGCCACCTTTGGATTCGGAACGACACCTGCGGTTCCTTCGCAAGGACATGACCATGGAGTCCAAAGCATGTATACTTGCAGTACTGGATCAGGAAGCATCACTGCCAGCTCTCCTGCCCTCACGATGTTCCTGTTCCAAGTCCTCAGTTTCTCGACCGCATCAATCGCGTTGACGGCCGTTGATAGCGCCTGCAGGTTCTTCAAGAGCGCACTCTTTTCCGACAGCCCGCCAGGTTGATATCGCTTCAGCACCTCCAAGATGATGGCGCCTGCTGTGAGTTTGCGAGCCGCCACCATTTCTGCGCCGCAAGGAGCATAGATGGCATAGATGCCACACTGCCCTCCAGGCGTCAGGCTTTCAGAAGCCAACCATCTCTTGTACACTTGTACACCTGACCCACACCCCCCCATGAGCTGGCTCCACATCCGCCCCCAGCGGTGTAATTTCAGCCAGCCAGTCACCACATCGAAGTGCAGCTTGATGCGAACCTTCTTCAGGTACCCTGAGCATCCGATATTGATTCCAATCAATAGTTTCCTATGAAAAAAAATGATATTGATGTTTCCAATCAATAGTTTCCTATGAAAAAATTGATATTGATTTGCCTTGAATATCAATATCAAAAATCAATATGTTCTATTGATTTGGTTTTGGTGTTTTCTGTTGATTTTGATGCGCCATTTCCCTTCCAAAATATGATGTAAATGTTGACTTTGATATTGATTTTTGATCTTGATTTGGATGTTGATTTTGGACACCCCTTTTCACTTGGCAGTTTTGGCTGTGAGAGTGTGAACAAGTAGGGAAGCAAGAATGTCCAGAGGTGGGGCCAGGCGCAAAGCCAAGGCTTACGTAGACCCATCCTTGCTGCTGCAAGTGATGGGCAACCATGGGGACTTGCTGGCTGATCAAGGATCCTATGAGAGAAGGAACAAGCAAGGTGCTGTGGACCCTGCTGGGAGGGTCGTCACCCCCACGCCAGAGGCAAGTTCAACGGCAGCACATGGAGCA